CGCGCGCAGATTTCGATTGAGCTCGAATTTTGAAAAAGCGGACGTGGACTCCGCCTTCAGGCGCGTGCCGGTCCTGCCTAGGCACCGCGCGGTCGCATGGGTAACCTACCGCCTGCGCGGGCGTGTCATGGCCGCCCTGCACATCACGCTGCCTTTCGGGGGCCTGGCCTGCGTGCACGGATGGGAGCGCGCGGGCGCCTTCCTGGCGGCCGCGGCGCGCAAGATGCTGTGGCTCCCGGCGTTGCGCTACGTTGACGACTTCTTCTCGGTTGAGAGGAAGGGCCTCGCGGAGCACGCCGACAAGTGCTTTGCGAGGCTGGTGCGCGCTCTCCTCGGGCCCAGCGCCATGCAGGACCGAAAATAGGCGTGGGGCCCGTCGATCGTGATCCTGGGGCTGCGCGTCCGGTCGTCGGCATCGGGCTTCCACGTCAAGCCCGACGACGATAAAGTTAAGCAGTGGATTGCCGTCATTGACGGCGCCTTGAGGTCAGGCGCGCTCACGGCCGGCGAGGCGTCGAAGATGGCGGGTCGCCTGTCGTGGGCACGCTGCCGCGTGTTCGAGCGCGCCGGGCGCTCGATGGTGCGACCGCTCTTCGACCAGGCATACGGTTCCCTGCCCCGCCTCGCGGGACACGCGAGCGACGCGCTGCGCTGGTGGCGAGACGCACTGGCACGGGACATCGCCCGCGCGCGGCCCCGGCGATGCCGCGACGCGCGCCCGCCGGTGCTCGCGCTGGCGGACGCCCGCGGCAGCCCGGCGCGACTCGCCGCAATTTTACTCACAGAAGACACGTTCGAGTGGGCCGACATGGCCCCGCCAGAAGAATTTCTCAGGTCTCAGCGCGGCGGTCCGCGCTGCGCGCGCGCGTCGGGCGTTGCGCGATTGGTGCAGCGGATTACGCGCCCGCAATGATCAGCAGATCGCGGCGCTCGAGATGCTGGCGCAATGCGTGGCTCTGTCCACGTGGGCACGCGCGCTCGCCGGCCGCCGCGTGGTCTGCTTCTCAGACAACAGCGTCGCTGAGTGCACTTTCAGGAAGGGCGCCGGAAAGTCACGCGACCACAATTTTCTCGCGCACCAATTCTGGTCGGCGGTAGTGGCGCTCCAGGCAGCGCGGCAACCGCGCGCCGCCAGACACGCGCGCGCGGCCGCGCCACCGCGGCAGGTCCACGCGTGGATAGAGCGCGTGGAGTCGGCAAGGAACCAGGAGCGGGATTTGCTCTCGCGTCTGGGGGGAAAGAGGGTCCGTGCACAACTCGCGGAGGCCTTCCGCTGTGGGCCACCGCCCGCGAGTGCTGCATGTTAGTAAGACTGCCCCGCGTGCGCGCACCGCGGGGCGCGCGCGCGCGCAAGCGGAACCGGCTGCCACGCTAGCCGGCATTGCGCAAGATGGAGCTCGCCCGCGACTTTCGCCGTAGCTTCCCAGGGCGTTTCAGCGATGCGGCGGCGGCCGAGGCCGCGGCTCTATGCGTTCGGCATGGCTGCTGTTCTCTCATGCAGCTGCAGGGGCGCGGCGGCGAAACCGCCGGCTGGTGCGATCGGGCTGGCACGAGCGAAGAGTGCCGTCGACTCGCGCGGGTGGCCGCGCTGGCCCGACCGCCCCCGGGGCCGCCCCCTGGGCGCGACGCGGTGACCGGCATATCAAGAGGCGTGAAGCGTTTTCTAGGCGAGCGGCGCGCGCGGGCGCGGGTCGGCGTCTTCGCCGCACAGGCAGTGTCGCATCGGTTCGCCTCGCCCGCGATTTACACCAGTGCGGAATAAAAGGTTGCTCGGCTGGCGCGCCCGCGGCGTGCGCGCGCGCGCGCCCGCCGGCGCGCAGGGGGTGCCTCCGATATCGCGCGTGCGGCCAGCGTACTGGCGGAGCAAGGGTTCGAGACCCACCAGGATCTCGTCGGGGCGCAGCTGAGGTGCATCGCGGACCTGCATGTCCTGCCAGCACCCCTCCTGTCGGAGCTCGATCGCCTGTGCACCGCGGGACCCTCTTCCGCGCGTAGCGGGGATGCGCGGAGCCGTTCTCCAGAGCGCCTGACAGCGATAGCGCCTGCATTCGAAAGGGCGATGGCGCGGCCAGGACCGCCCTCGCCACCCGTACCAGGGGGGCCGCGTCGCAACGCGCAGTGGCTTGCGTGCCCCATGCCCTCGCAGGGGGAGCGGCGCGAATGGGCGGAACGGGCCCGATTGGAGGTCCTGGTCAGCACTATACCATCCACCCGCCAATATTTGAAGAGCGGTGTGCGGTGCTGGCTCAATTTCGCGATAGACGTACTCGGACGTGACCGGCATCTCGCGCTGCCGCCCAGCGAGGCGCGACCAATCCGCGCAACCCTTCCTGCGCGGCCCGCAGACTCTTATAATCTGCGGCGCGCGCCCAGGACGATCTGTCGCGCTGGTCGGGCACTTTCTCTTGCGCGGGCACGCTCCGGAATTATTGCGGGCACGTGCAGACAGCGTGCGAAGTGCTACGCCTGGACACGAGCGCCTTCGGCAACAGACGGCTGCTCCGGCGTCGGCCCCCCGCGCCACCGCGCGCGCGCGAGGCCGCGCGTCGCGCGCCCAGGAAGGCCAAGGCAGCCATTGTGCGGCGCGGCGGACACACGCCACGCGAACCGCGCTTCGTTCGTGACGCTATGATTGCGCAACTACTTGGCCTACATGGTCGCAGCGAAAAGAAAAGGCGGGGCCGCCGCGCGGCATTCGCCAGTCAACCCAGCGGTCGCGCAGGTGGCATCCACCATTTTTCGAATTACGTACATATTCCTGCTTCGCCTACCATCCGAGTGTTTACCCATCCGGTGGTGCGGCAACACTCTGTCGCGCGGCCGCACGGCGGGCCGCGCCGTCTGGAAACGCGCGCGCTGGGGCACCCGCGCACGCGCCGAACGCGCTAGGCGGAGCTGGCCATATCGGCAGACGAGGCACTCCTCTGGTTCCCAAGGCGGAAGAACAAGCCGTGCGCGTCGATACTCCGCCGGAGGTGTTGGTGCCGCGCGCACGCCGCGACGCGCGCCGCGCACGCGCTGCCTCCGTTGCTGCGCGGCACAGCAGTAGGCACTCAGCCGTTCGCGCAGTTCTCAGGGTCGGATGCCCGGCGTATCCTTCGGTCCCTATTGTCCAGGATAGGCGTGGACAGTGCCAACCTATTCGGCACCCACGACATGCGAAGGTCGCGACCCGCGACCGCCCGCGCGGCTCGGCGCGCACATCATCCGCCCCTCTCGCGCGCACAAGGGGGCACGCCGATGACATCGATCGCGCGGGTGCACCGACCGCAGTAACGAAGGAACGTGGAGGCTGGGCGTCGAACGCCTACCTGGCTTACATCGACCGCGTCCGGGTCGAAAGTGAGAGGGTAGAGGCCGCGCGCAACGCCGCGTCCGACTGCTCGGACAGCTCAGACACCCAGCGTGGCTGCGGCATCCCGGCGCGCGCCCGAGCGCCGCGCTCCGCGTGCGCAACGGGTGAGCGGCGCACAGCGCTGGCCGCGTCGTTGCATTGGGTCGTGCTGCGACCAGCACCGAGGCCTCGCGGCGCCCGCGCCCTCTCGGCGCGGCGCAGGCTTCGGCGCGCACCCAACGCTGCGGTTGCAGACGCAACCCAGCTACGGGTGAGCGGGGTGCTCAGCGAATTTGCGTGTATGGAACGAGTTCGGCCCCTGGTTCCATCGCACACATTCGCTGGCCCCAGGCGCACGCGGCGGACGCAGGCGCGAGCAGTCGCCGCGCCGCCGCTTGGCTCGCGCGCGCCGCGGCGCGCCGCAGGCGATGTGGGCAGGCCCGCGCGCGGCCGCTGCCCGCCGCGGCCGCGCGCAGGTACCGCAGGTTTGTGCGTGCCTGGGGCGCGCGCCCCGCGCTCGGGATTTGACCCACCCGTGCCCGCCCCGTTTCTCGCCCCTTGCTGGGTCGTGCTGCGACCAGCACCGAGGCCTCGCGGCGCCCGCGCCCTCTCGGCGCGGCGCAGGCTTCGGCGCACACCCAACGCTGCGGTTGCAGGCGCAACCCAGCTACGGGCGAGCGGGGTGCTCAGCGAATTTGCGCGGGAGGCTCCGGGGGCGGTTTTTCTGGGGATGCATGTCCCACGCGAGGGCGCCAGTTTTGAATTCGTCGCTGAATCCGCCGGATTTCCCAGATCTCCCTTGAAACGGAATAGGGGGGGGCGGTCGGTGGGGCCATTGCCTCGCGCGCTGGGGGTCAGGGTGACGCGAGTTCCGCAGAAGTCCCTTCAAATGAAGTTCAGGAAGGTGCCCAGCGGCAGTCCAGCTTTGAAAGTGAACCGCCCCCCATCCTCGGAAAGGTTGCAAGTCTGGCGTTGGAGATCTCACGACGTCTCAAGCGAGCGTCCCAGATTGAAAATGGATTGCCCTCCATCCGTATAGCTGTCGCGTACGGTAGCAGATGATGAAGATGTGCAGGGCGAGGGTCCCATTTTAAGCGGTTGCCGCCTTCCAAAGGGTTAGCTGTTGGATATGATTCAGACGAGTTGAGAAGGGACCGCACTCCATCCATGTAAGTGTTGGGAATGTTTGAGACGAGCGTGCGAGGCGCCAAAGCGAGAGCCACGTTTTGAAAACGATCCGCCCACCGTCCTCGTAGCTGTTGAAAGTCCCAAGCTTCAGCATCGCAAGCGGGGAAGGAGTCTCAGGCAAAATGGTGGGTCCGCTCCAACGGCAAGTCTAGTGACACGCCAGGGAAAAGCGAAATATGATAAAGAAGGATGGGACAAAGGAGAGGGGTCGGTTGAGAACGAGTGGAGGAGGAGGGGTTGTGGAGGACAGGTAAAGGGGGGGAGGGGAAAGAGGATGATGATGATGAGGAGGAGGAGGATGATGAGGAGGATGGGGGAGGAAGTGGGAAGGAGCAATAGAAGAAGCAGCTTCCGCCTTGCGTGCTGCGCTCCCCTCCCCAAACCTTGCAGCCCCCCTCGGGTTGCGCGATAAGCCGCATATTTGTCCCTTTGGTTTCCCTGAGTTTGTCGCCGTTTGAGCGCGGCGAAGCGCGGCGAGGCAAGTCCACGTCGAGGTGCACGTGTTCTGGCAGTCGGCAAGCGACGCATGCACCAGGTCTTACCAGCTGTTGCAGAGCCTCCCGGAGATGTCGAAGACTCCGGGCGCCGAGGCTGGGCTGGCATTCAAATTGACGGGGTGGGGCACGCACGAATGATTCACTCGTCGGCCGTCGACGCATGATTGGAGCGATTGTCAGTTGGACCTGGCGGCATTATGAAGACGATGGCGGTAATGGTCGATCGGCATGGTCGATCGACGCGTAGGTATGCAGTCGTATCGTCGGCTTTCCGTGACCGTGCGCTTCTACGGTGTGATGAGTGTGGGCTATGCGAGTCACTGTCTGCACATGACATATTCGCGGCTCTCCTGCTTGAAAGCACTTCTCTATCGCATGGCATTCAAGCAGCGATTGCCAAGCAAGCCTTGCGCACACCGACCCATCAATCGGTGCACTCCAGCGAGGCTTACAAGAGATTGATGCTTGCCTGGCGACCTTGAGACTCACCCCGTGGCCGCGATGAGCCGAGACTCTGCGATCGCGGCGACGAGGGGGGGGATCGAAAGAGCACCGCAGCAGTAGCAAAAAACAGCTGGAGTTCCGAGAGAGTGTGCCAGCGGTCTCCCTCGCGTCTGTCACCCGTTGCGGGTCCCGTGGCCGTGGAGGCACTGGGCTCCGCCGTCGCGAGGACGGCAGCGGCGAGCCGGCTGTGCTGCCGGGAGGACGGCGAGATAGCGAGGGGCTCCCAGCTTCCGAGGAGTCCTGATGTGAAGCGTCGGCGGCTTTCGTCCTCCCCCGCGGGCCTCGTCCCCTTGGGCCCCGCAGCTATAGCGAGCCAGCGGTAGTCTCTTTCCCTCCTCCTCCTCCTCCTCCTCCTCCTCCTCCTCCTCCTCCTCCTCCTCCTCCTCCGACTTACTCGGATAGGATGCCCCGTTTCCATCCAAGACGCCTACGGCGAATCACCGCCGCCCCGTGCCTTTTAGGATACGCTTACGAGGCTAAACGTTTGGGCAAAGTTTGGTCACGCTATTGGACCATGCGTTCCCCACCCGTTGTGGAAGCCCTTCGGGAAACACATGGGGGAGAAAGAGGAGGACAAAGAGGAGACGGAGGAAACAGGAAAAAAGAAAAGACAGGCAGGAGGAGGACAATTGGGAGCTTCTGGGGCCACTCTTGGAGCCTCCTGGCAGTTTCCTCGGAGCCTTTTGGAGGTCCTTCGGGGCCTCCTTGGGCCTCTTGGGGGCCTTCGGGGGTTTCTTGGGGGCTGATTTGGCTATCTTACGGCGGCCCTGGCCCGTCTGACGCCGTCGGGGCCGTCTTGGATGCCTCTCTGAACCGACTTGGGGCCCTCTTGGGGCGCTTCAGGGCCGTGTTGGATGCCATCTTGGGCGTCTTGCGGCCACTCGGGCCGTCTTGGCGCCCTCTTGGAGCCGTCTCGGAGGCTTCTTCGGCCGTCATGAGGTCATCTTGGACGCGGTTGGGGCAATCTTGGGGCGATATTGGGGGACTCTGGGTCCGTCTCGGGCCGTCGGAAGACCAACGTAGCAAGTGCAAATGTCTTTGAAAAACCTTAAAACATCAATGGTGTTGGCTTCTTCGGGCCTTCCTAAAGGTTCTTTGGGGGGCCTCTTGGTCCGTCTTAGGTGCCTGTTGGGCGCATCTTCGGCCATCTTGGGCTCTTTTGGACTATCTTGGCGGTCTAGGAGGCATCTTGGGGCCGTTTTGGAGGCCATCTTGGGGCTATTTTGGGCCCTCTTGGGGCCATCTCAGCCGGCGCGCTGTGTCGAAGGCCAACGGGGAGCTCGAAAATAACAAAAAAAAATCAGAACGTCCAGCACGCCGGGCACCCTTGTGGCCAGCCAGCAGGGGGCGGCGGATTGAATTGTCTTCGGCCCATCCCGCCACCGTGCTTGGGTTGTGGGCACAAAGCTTATTGGGTGTTCGTTGGGATCTCGTGGGAGGCCTCTTGTAGGCATTTTTGAAGCGCCAAGGGGCCGTCTTGAAGCCTCTTGGGGCATTTGGGGGGCCTCTTGAGGCTTCTTGGGGTTCTCTTGGGGCCTCTAGGGGTCTCTGGGGCGCCTCTTGGGGCCTCCTGTAGGCCCCTCGGGACGGAGGGTTCGGATTTTCAGTTCGAGCTCCCTTTCTTGGGCCCCTTTTGGGGCCGTCTTGGGGCCTTCTTGGACCGTCTTGGGCGCCTCTTGGGCCGTCGTGGGGCGCTCTTAAGCCGTCTCGGGGCCCTCTCGTAGGTCTCCTGGGCCGTTTTGGGGTGGTTTTGGCCACATCTTGGAACGTCTTGGGGCGTCGGAACACCGAAAAGCCGAAAACGCCAAAATCTTCCACCTACCTCTGGGAAATATATGATGTTTGCCTCTAGGGCCGTCTTGGGAGGCCTCTAAGGACGCCCCGCTGATATCTGGGCCCAAGCACCGGAACGCATGCATCTGATATGATAAGAAAAGGTCCGTTCACCGCCGCCACGCTTTCTGACCGGCCACCAACCCCCGCAATTCCAGGGTGGCGGAGCTGGGGGCTTCCCCAGCGCGCGATCCACGGAAGACGCGCAGGGTGCGATGTGGACGCACGTTCGGGTCCCCCTTCACCCTCCGCATGGGCACCAACCTCCATTTCCTGAACCGCCTGCGATCACGGGTGCTCTGCGGCCCATTACGGCTAGGACGTTTGTAGTTCGGCGGTGGTGCGTGATCCGATCAAGACCTGTTAACGCTGATCGGGCGGAGGCCCGAAAACTTGAAGCCCTTTGCAGCTCAAGGACCAGGAAAACAGAAGCCTCAACTCCTCATCGCACTGCATCGGGCGCAGGGGGGCGCGCCCATGGTAGTGGAGCTCGCATGAGATTCGCGGGATAGCACCGCATCTCGAGAGCCCCAAGAGCCCGCGACGGGACCTAGCAGCAGCGGACAACCCCCCGCCGCGGCCCGAGGCTCGGCGTAGCGGAAAGCCCCGCGCCCGAGCCGAACGGCGCCCACAGCGCCGCGGACGAAGGGCGCTCTTCAGACAGGCCGACAAGACCCAAGCGGAAGAACGCGCGCGGGACGAGGGCACCAAGTGCCACCCGGCACCGCCAGAACCGCGGGAGCGCGGAGAAGCGGCCCAGCTTACGACAGAAGAGCGAGCAGCAGCAAGGGGCCAGCTGCAGCTTGACATCCGTCGGCGCCGAGAAAATAGCGATGGAGGATCAGGTGAGGCAGCTGTTCGAGCAAACGCATCAGCTGACGGCGCAAACTCCACAGACAACGACGGATCTACAGCAACGAGATCTTGCGATAGCGGAGAGGAGAGGTCAGCTCCAAGGGCAATCGAGAAAGGAACCCGCGGCGAGATGATGGACCCGAAGATCCCCCGCATGGTGAAGACGTGCGACGGGCATGGGGCGATCTGGATGACATTCAGTTTCCAGTAATAGGTGTACCTGATTGCTCAGGATCGAAGGCACCGGCCGCGCCTGGGAAGGCCGAGCACGGACGGGGCTGAAGAAGTGGAGAACGCGCACCGCATTGTTCAGGGGGAGGAGCTCAGCCTTCAGTTGCACGTCACCCTGCCCCTCGTGATGCCAGGGGACTGGGCGGGAGAGATGATCGCGAGGAACAGCCTTGCGGGCGAGGGCGCAGAGCGTTGGCGGAAGCGTCAGCGGCGCAACCCGAACAGAGCAGGAAATGCCATTGCCACGCGGACCAAGCTGACGGGCACAAAGTCACATTTCGGCAGGACACGCCGGCGAGCATCAGCAGGCTCGACCAGGATCTGGCGAGGCACCAGAAGATGGCAGGGGAATCGATGTTGGACCTGATCAAGCGAGAGACCCCCACCAGGGCGCCCAAGGGCCACGAGGAATTGCAGAGGCAGGTGGCCCACGACAGCAGTCGGTTTGGCACGCGCGAGCTCCCTCGAAAGGAAGCGCTGGAAGGAAGCGAGAAATAGTGGAAAAGCCAAGGAAAATGGAAGTTCGGCAAGGGCATGAGCGACCAGCCGACCCCCGACGCCGACATGGAGCGCAGTCACTGCAAGAGGAAGGGCCACCGCGGCGCCAACTGACCGCGGCGCCAACTGCCAGGGGCGGATCGCCGACGAGAAGACGGCACCTGGCCACCGGGAGAAGGACAACAGGAAGGAGGCAAGGAAGAAAATGGAAAAAGAGAGAGAGAGAGAGAGAGAGAGAGAGAGAGAGAGAGAGAGAGAGAACAAAAAAATAAAGGAATAAAAAACAATACATATATATATATATAGAGAGAGAGAGAGAGGAGAGAGAGAGAGAGAGAGAGAGAGGAGAGAGAGAGAGAGAGAGAGTGAGAGAGAGAGAGCGAGAGAGCGAGCGAGAGAGCTAGAGAGGGAGGTGCGTATATATATAGAGAGAGGAAAGAAAGAGAGAGAGAGAGAGAGAGAGAGAGAGAGAGAGGAGAGAGAGAAAGAAGAGAGAGAGAGAGAGAGAGAGAGAGGAGAGAGAGAGAGAGAGAGAGAGAGAGAGAGAGAGAGAGAGAGAGAGAGAGAGAAAGAAAGAAAGAAAGAAAGAAAGAAAGAAGGCGAGAAGGAGAAAGAGAGAAAGAGAGAAAGAGAGAAAGATAGAGAGAGGGGGGGGGAAAAAAGGAAGAAGCGCGACAGCGGCAGTGGGGGGGCGCGAGAGGCAACGCAACGCCACGCGGCGTCGGGCACGGCGCCCACCGCGCCCACGGCGTGGCGACCCAGCCAGTCACGAGTGGCCTGATTGCGAAGATGAGTCTGGAATTGATGGCAGAGCTCAGGCAGAACCCACGTCCTCACTTGGCAGTACACCCTGCCCTCCCACGCCAAGAGTACTGGCGCAGCTTGCGCGAGGGGCACTTCGACGGACAGGAGACGGCGCGTCTCCGACTGGCAGTTGGTCTTATGCGACAGGCGCGCTGAGTAATGTCTCGACAGACCAGCGCGGCATGTTCGCCATCCTGCACGCGCCGCGGGCAGGCGTCGGATAGCCCCGCGCTGCCCGAGATCAATGGCCTGCGCGAGCAGGGGTCGGAGGATGGCCGCCCGCGAGCGGGCCCGCCTCGGGGCGCTGTCGCGCTCGATTCAGAGGCCCGGATCAGCGCGGCGCTAAAGGGGCAGGTGACCGCGCGCGATTTGGCGCCGACTGAGAGCAACATAGTCGGCGTTAACGGCACGGGAGGTGAAGGGGCCGAGAGGCATTGCCACGCGAAGTTAAATCTACCCTGAGGAGGAGTAGTCATCCGATTTGTAGCGGAGGTTCCCGACGTGGAATGCACCTAGCTGCAGCCGCAGATGCGGTCGCACAGCGCGGCAAGAGCGCTCGCCATTTGCCGCGCCGGTCAGCGGGTCGTCAGCGGCGCCGCCCAGCCCCCTGACGGAGCTGAGGTCATACTTCTATGACGGCACAAGGCCAACGACCACCAGGAGTTTGACCATCTCTTTCACGAGCACATCAAGCCAGACGTCTCACAGATGGTAGCAGCGAAGAAGCTGCCAAGACAGGCCCCAACGGAGCCAGAAGCAGGATCGTTGCCGAGGGCATTGGGCCGGGTGAAAGACGAGACGAGGACGCTCGAGTCGCCCCACCAACCGAGCGCCGCGGAGAAGGCCGCACACGAAGGCCCACATCTGCCCCGTCGCCCCCGACGACCAGCGCGCGGCGGGCGGAAGCTCGAGCCGACGACGATCCACGCTGCGCGCGGGAGCAAGCGGGCGAGCAGCAGGCGCCGATGGCGGTGCTCGACGTCTTCGACGCGGGCGCGGATCAGCGGGCAGCGACGCGAAGACGCAAGCGAGGTCCTGCAGTTTCAGGGGGGGGCCGCCCGCGACGAAGGCTGACCTTGATCGACCGATCGCGGTGCTGAGCGCATGCGACAGAACGATTCCATAACAGGCAACGCTGTATTTCGCGCGGTTACGGGCGACATCAACGCGTCCTTCACGCTCGTCGCGCTGGAGGCCCGGGGCCAAATTGCAGTCGCGATCCAGACGGGCCAGGGGCCTGCGACGATAGCCCTGGCGAACGCAGTCTGAGATCAAAGGCCCTGCTCAATCCTGGCGCGGGGATCACCGCCCAGTTCCCCGCAGAGCGCCAGCTACGGCGATGGGGGGGCAGGAAGCCTGCAGCAGGGTTGCCCAGGACCGATGAGCTCAAGCTGGAGCGCAGGTTTGGCCGCGACATTGAGATGACGGATCCGATCGCGCCCTGGCTCGCCAACTTGGCGGGCTGGGTGGTCACGAGATTGCAGCTTCGAGGTCGCGTCGGATCACCCCGCGGGACGTTGCACGGCAAGGAGTACTGCGAGCGGGTCCGGCACGGGATCGCTGCCTGAGTTGCCACTGGACGCGGCAAGTGGGAGGCCCGCTCTGCGAGAGGCGCCTGGGTCGGCAAGAGCTAGCTGGGCGACGCCCATCTCGCGGCCGACCTCGGGCGCGGAGCCCAGATGGCACGGGCGGCGCGAAGGGCGCCCTGAGAGTCCAGCTGGCAGCCCAGGCGGGCCATGAACACCAGGGCGACACCGTGGAACCACAACCCCGACGAGAGCGCTGGACCAATAAGACGCACCATGCACGTCGCGGACCGCGCGATCGACGCACGCGGCTCAAGCGACGAACTCAGGAAGCGCAACATAGGACTTGGCTCGGCAGCTCGAGCCCAGTAAAGCCGACCCCAGCGCGAGGAGCTGGGGCAGAACCTCGCGGCGCCAACGACCAGGGCGGCGGCGCCGGCCCCCGGGGCCGGCTGCAGCAAGCAGCAGCCAGGCACCGGGGCCTTCCGCGCCTCCGCTCGCAGGCCAGCCAGCGTTAGAGCCCGCGGCCCAGGCCGACGCCTGCCTCGCGGCCCAGGGGGGGCAGAAGATGGCGCGCAGACAGAGCTGGGGCGGCCCATGAGCAATTTCCCACCGGCTGCCCCGGGAGACGAGCGGCAGGATGTGAAAGTCCATGGGCGGAGAGCAGCATCCATCGGCAAGCGCCCTGCCAGCGAACTTGCGGCTCGCGAAGACGGCGACGACGAAAGCTTAGATCTGGCCTGGGACCATCGCCAGGCGCGCGAGTCAAGATGCCGAGTCAAGCAGTGGCGAAGCGAGGTGGCGCGTTCTAATAACCCTTTGTGATATGCACGAAATGTTATGAGAACATGTATGGCCTGGGGCGTTTTGTTTTAACATATCGGGTTACTGGTACAAGAACATTGTTTTTGTTATTAGAACATTTGTTGGTTCCAAGAACATGTCGTGGTAGGATTATAGGAGTGCCGGGACGGTCGGCCCAAGCTCAACCGAGAGCGGCGCGGGATGCCGATGGAGCCCAAAGACGAGAAATTATGATTGTTACACTGGAGAGCCGCCGGACAGGAACCTGCACCAGAAAGGTCGCGACGACGAGCTACGAACCATGAAGGACTACGGAACCCACGCGGAGGCCACGCGGAGGCGGCGATTTCGACGGCGACCGACGGCAAACGCATCGGAGGTTCCCCCATAGCACACGCGGAGGACGGAAAGGTCAGGCGGAGGTCCGAGTCGACAGAGATCAACATGCACGAATTGAGAGAGGACAGCCGCCAGGGCGCGCAACCGCCCACGATCGCCAGAACGAATTTACGCCGCGTTGCTTAGGGCCTTGCTTCGACAGGCGAGCGCGCGAGGATCGCCCAGATCTGGGGCCGCGGGAAAGCTTTCTGCAATGCCAGCCTGGACGAGAAGATTTACGTTCATCTTGGTCGAGAGTTGCGTCCTCATGGACGGTGCTGGTGGCTGCGCAAGGCCATGTACAGCACCAGGAAAGCTTCGCAGGTGTGGGGAGAGATGGCCAGGGCCACCACGACGGTCAATTGGACTGCCTGCAGGGGGCAACCTAATGTCTACTACTCGCGCCAATTGCCTGCGAGCCCGAACGTTCCGCCCGTCGAAGGGGATTGCACAGTGATCTGCCGTGGCGGCGACTTTCTGGCTGAAGATTACGACATGGCCGACGCGACAGTTTGGGTGTTCTTCCTAAGGATCGAGCTCGGGAAGTCGCAGGCGCAGCGGGTACGGCATTCAACCTGTTTTCAGACAGGCCCGACAACATGCGCCGGCAAGACCGCGACGCAGCACGTCTCCGATCTCATTGCCTCGACGCACGCGAGGGCGCAGCGGCCTGAACGGCATGGCGAAGGCAAGCACGCGTTGGTTTGGCGCGACCTTTCCACGGGGCAATCTTGCGGGCGCTCGCGCGGGCGGCGACGCAGGGCGGGCACCTGCGAGCGAGCCTCAGAGGGGATCCACAAGCGGAAGATCTGTGCGGCATGGAGATCACGAGGTTGTTGTTCAACGACACAGGGCACGACAGCCTTAACTTCAGTGGAGTTCGAGACGATTGCCACAGGAACCGAGACAGCCAGAGGACTCTTGTGCACGACGCATCTGATCGAGACCCAGAGACCCCACTACCTCCTGAAGGTCTGCAGCGACGGCGCAGGAGGCCGAGGCATGCGCGACCGAGCGGGCGCGGGCAAGGCCACGCATGCGAAGTGGGGGTCCCCGCGGATTCAGGACCGGCTACGTTCGAAATTATGAGGGGCGCCGCCGAAATGACAGCCGAGATCTTGATGAAGTACAGCGAGTGGCCGACGATCGAAGAGCATTCTGCCACCCCCGCTCAAGGGCTCGAGCGCGAGGGCTGTTCCCGTAGAAGTCTCGACGCCAGCCGCGGGCGAGAAGATGGTGACAGCGCATGAAGTTCCAGGACATGGAGCGGTTTGCCCCGCCCCTGTGCCCCGCTACGTGGACAGCGAGGATATTTGGGCGATCCTAAAGACGGACATTCGCACGGCGATCGGCCTCGCGTTTCTGTTTGGAGTTCTGCGCGGATGTCACGCGAAGAGCTTCCTTAACTAGGCCTTCCTACCGGTTGCGGGTAGCCCCGAACCCGCAGGCGCAGAGACTCACTTGGCCTCGCCTGCCAAGGAGGTCAACGCAGGACTCGACGCAGAGCCACGCTCGAAGGACAAAAGAGCTAGGCACAAGCTACTCAACACGTTTCTCGTGGCCGACTTTAAGCAGACATTGAGGAACGAGGGCCTGCTCGCGACTGACTAGCCATCTTCGGCCACCCAGGCCTGGGAGCGCCAACCTCGCTCTCGGTCGCCCGGGCCGGCAAGCAGGGCGCCCGGGCCGGTTGGCTCAGAGACGGGGGCCAAGCCTACACAGCCACCCGGTCCACCACCAGGGCTCGCTGCGCCAGCGCCGGGGCGCCAGGACGTTGACGCGCGCCCGCGCCAGCGCCCCAACGACACTTACCAGGGCGCCCGCGAGCTGGAGCCGCCGCCCAGCTTCAGGCGCTCCTGGGCACCCATCGGCAGCCAGGGCCAGGCACAGCACCAGCAGTCCAAGCACGACAAGAAGAGCGACAAGGGCAGCAAGGGCAGGAAGGACAAGGGCACGCAGACGGATGCCCCCACGGCCGAGCCCGAACGCAAGAAGACCCTTCTTGCCCGACACAAGGGCAAGAAGTTGCGGGATCAGAAGTGCGCTGCCTCGCGTCAGAAGAGGGATGCGGCAGCCGACGACAATGACGACGAGGAGAAGTCCCAACAGTTCCGGACGCGGACGCTGAGGAGCCCGCAGCAGACGACACCGCAGAGGTTGCGAAGGAGCCCGTCTACGAGAACGAGCTTCGCAGCAGCGAGGGGAGGGCCAGGAATGAGCGGCGAGGCGCAGCACAGGCATCACCACCCGCGCAGCCGCAGGGAAAATTCCCATTTGTTCCCCTCCACTCCATTCAACCGCATCACATCCTCGCCCCTCCGCCCTCACGGGTCGCGTGTCACGCTTCGTCGAGCTTCGCTCAGACTTTCGGTCACCCCGACCGTGACGCACTGCCCTCACGAATACACAGTCACCGCAATTGGCTGGCCACCTCACACACACACACACACCAGGTGAGCGTCTCGGTGCCATTACGAAGAGCACGAGAGTGCCTTCTGAGTACAGTCAGTGAGCACGCACTCCGCCGGTTCGGCGCGCGCCCCCCCAGGCAGTGGCCGGGTATTTTGCACGAATTGGGAAGGCGCGCGGGAATCCCACAGTTTTGGCATGTCTTCTTTCTCGGTTCCTTTGGTCTGCCAGAGCTGTTCGATCGCTCGCACAATCCCGACTCGAATACGGCGCCCCGGTGCTATCTGGGCCCAAACACCAGAGCGCATGCATTTGATCTAGTAAAAAAATCTGTTTCACCGCCGCCACGCTTTCTCACCAGCTCCCCCCCCCGCAATTCTAGTTCATCCTCCTCCTCCTCCTCATCTTCCTTCTCCTCCTCGTCCGTTTTCCTCGCCCTCCCCGACCTCCTCCTCAACCTCCTCCTCGTCCCCCGCGGCCGGCGCCCCCACCTGGGCACCCCCTCCGACGCTTGCTGCGCGCGCGGAGTGATGGCCCGTCGCGCCGCCGTCTGGGCGGCCCTCCTCGTTGTGCCAGCGCGGGCCGCCGGGGACGGCTGGACCTGGGTCGAGTGGTTGCGCGGCGCGGGCACCGCGGCGCCCGCGGAGCAGGCAAGTGCCGCGCCCGCAGAAGTGTCGGGCGCAGCACCGGGGGCCAGCAGGTGGCAGCCGCTGCTGCAGCTGCTGCAGGGCTGGGAGTTCACAAGCAACTACGCAGTCACCATCGGCACTGCGGAGCACGGCCGCCTGTTCAGCTACGAGGGCGGCAAGTTCACGCTGGGCACGAAGATCCCCACCGGCAGCACCAGCAAGTGGCCCTCGGCCATGATGTTCGCTGGCCTAGTGAACGACGGTACCATCGGTTCTTTGGACGATCCAGTTCACAAATACCTGTCCTGGTGGACCAAGGACCGCCCTGAGCGAGAGGGGTCCTGAGCGAAGGAGGCCCAGAGGTTGTTGTTCCAATTTCCAGACTCCTAGGGCACTTCCCAGGTCTAGAACCGACAACAAAAACAACTGAAGGTGGAAAGCCTGTCCAGGGAAGCCACAGGGGTTCCAGGATCCGTTTTCCTCAGGGCCCCCCTTTGGCTCATCGGAAAAGGACCCAGTGGATCCACGATCCACCGTGACTTTCCGGATGCTGTTGACCTTTACGTCTGGTTTCGGAGACGGTCACCCTGGCGAGGAGGCCAACACACGCGCCGCCCAGGAGTGGCGCTTACGAAATAACGTTTCCAGGCCAAACGAGATGGCGCGCAAAACTCTTGAAGCCCGCCTGGCCGAGCAGATTGGATTTGAGGCCGCGCAGGCTTGCAACACTACCAAAGGCGAGATCACCGAGTGCGCCAAGTCCATTTATGGCGGCGTCAAGTTGATAGGCACCCCTGGGAAGGTGTACTCCTACAATTCCAATCACCTCCAGATCGCGGCTGCTGTCTCTGTAGCTGCGTCTGGCCTCGGCATCGAGGCAGTGATCGAGAAGTACCTCCTGACACCCTTCAACATGACCGACAGCTCCTACTTTGGCCGGTGTCCCGACTTCGGTGGAGATTTGATCACCACAGGGAACGATTACGAGAGTTTTCTCCTTGCACTTTTGTCGTACAGAGGGCTGTCGAAGGAAATCATTGATGCATCTGAGGAAGACGCCACGCCCTTCATGAGCGACTTTTACACACTTTATGGCAACTACGGTTTCGGACACTTCCTGATGTGTTTCGACAGTGTAAACGGCATGACAGATGCATGTCGACAAGCTAAGTGCCACATGGACCCAGGCGCTTTCGGCTTCATCCCCATCATCGACAGAAAGAACCAGTATTATGTTCAGCTCGTGTCCGCCGAGGTAGCTCCCACAGGCTCTTACCCGCTCAGTGGCATCCCTGAGTACCTTGCCGTGGCGATGAAGCCTCACGTCGACGCGATCCTCAGCCCCAAGCCGCCCGACCCCTACGAGCACCTCACCCACAGCCCGCGCTTCCTCTCCCTCGGCATCGCGGACGTGAACTATTGCCTCGGTTGTGTGCTGCACCCCGAGAGCTGCTCGTGAGCCCGCCCGGCACCCTCGGACGCATCAACGGCTGCTTTCCTGGTTGCATGTCTGATTCGTGGCGGCATGTAGTCGTGTCGATCCATCGGTTGTTGTTATTTGGTTGAACTTTAGGGCCGCGGCGGCGCTCAGTTGTCTCACATTCTCTCGCGATGAGGCGGGTTCTCGTCCGATCGGAAAAAAGTCCGCATGTTCGCCGAGCCTGCCTCGCAGCAGGCGCATCACATGAAAGACTGGCATACCAGCTGGCGCCCCACCGAAGTTTCTGCTTCCCACGTGGTGCTCATGCGGCCCACTGGTGTTGCAGCGCACCTCACGGAGGATAAGGTCCACGAGGATTGCGCCCTTGTATTCTCTATAGCAGGCTGTCTTCCCGTGGTGTGCACAGTAATTAGAGTCGCGTCGTGTTGACGCAGTGGCGACCCCAGCGCGAGCGGTCTAGGTCAAGCGCCGCCAGTTGCCCAGAATCGTCCGCCATCGAGCCGCCGCTTCCATCGGAGAGCCGCGACGGGTCAAGGTTGAGAGATCCGCGCGGCGTCAGAAACTAGCGCCGGCGTCGTCCCGACACGAACTCAGTTCGTGTCGGGACAGGTCTTGCCGCACATCGAATCGGAAGGTCGGCTTGAGCATCATAGCACGGAGTTCTCCGCGCGTATTTCTTGGGTCGGCGCGCGGACCTCCAGATTTTTGCGGCTGGGCCATGTTCTGGTGACCTCGTGCTGAAGCTCGAGCCCAGACATCTGGCGCCTCGACTGTTTCAGGGCGTGGGACCCCAGACCTCTCGACCCCTTTCCCCAGGCCCAGCTTTTCGTTTCGGGCACATCAGCTCAACACGTGAGTTCACTCGCCAACCCCCCCGTCCGACCCAATTGTCGTCCACCCCGATCTCTTGCTCCTGGCATGGAGAGGAGGTCGCCATGAAGAAAAAGGGGTCCTGAGGGCAAGGGGGGCTTCGGGGCGTTTCGCCGTTGTCGAGCTCCTGGGGCCCTCCCAGGGTCCCAGGACCTTCAGAAAGCGACTCGGGATAAGAAACCAGCCAGCCATAGGGAGAAGCCCTGGGTCTCCGAGCCCCCCTCGCGTCGCGAAAAAAACTTGACGGAAGGTGTGTTTGCCAAGTTCCTCAGCCGTTGCGCAATGGGGGGGCCATGAGTGGGTGGGTTAAAGACAGGTGCACTTTTAGTGCCATGAAGGGGGTCAAAAAGGGCCCCCCCCACACACATGTTTTGCCCCCCATATTACGCAACACCCGATTTCCATTACCAGGGGGCCCTTAGCGGGCCCGAGGGACCGTCAACAACAACGCAGGATGGAAAGCCGGTCCCAGGGAATGGGTCGATACCTTTGGGGGTCCACGCTGTGAAAAAGCCACGACCTCGGTTGTCTTGGGGGAGAAGGTGTGTGGGGGTACGACATTTGCTGCAGGCAGTTGGTTCCGGCTCCGCCGCCGAGCATGTTCCTCAATGCACGGCCGCCTCCGGCGCCAGGAAGCGTTGGGAAAGCCAGCCTCCTTCGGCCGATTCGCCAAGTCCCTTTTCACAACCCCTCTTTTGTCGTCCGCCCTGGGAAGAGCACTGGGGGAGCCAGAGCCAGCTGCACGCCCACCGAAGGCCATTCTTGCCCAGAGCCACTCCTGCGCGTGGACAGCACAGTTCGGAGGGGGTGGTTGTGGACAGCGCTGGCGCTCATTGGCCGATTCCAGCTCGTGCCTCCAGCCACCTCCGACCATCTCCCCAGCTTGTCTGCGCCCTCCCACGGCACCGACTCCAGCTACACATTGTTCATGTCTAATTCTTCGAGAGTTCAAAGTTCTTTGAAGTTTGGGGGGCCAAGATCCTTTCATTTCTACTTGATCATTTCTAATTGTTCTGGAAATTAGCAGGATTAGAAATGAACGACGTGTACTGGGCGGCTGGCCCTCCCCGCCGGTGCTTCCATCCCGTGTCTGCGCCCGCTCACTGCACCCGCGCGGGTGACCCCCCCCATGCAGCGGCGGGACTGCCGCTGCCGCTGTCAGTGGCTGTGGACAGCGCCAGTGCGGGTGAGGCCGTTCGGGCAGCCCTTGGATTTATGGTGTTCCAACCTATTTTAGCCTTGACCACCAGAAAGAAGTTCGAGCACCAGAAAAGTACCCAAAAACTCTGGGGTTTTCACGTGCCGGGCCCTGGGAGACACTCGTCCGACACTGTCTCGACACTCTTTCGACACTCTCTCGACATTTTTCCGGGCGCTCAAGATTATTTCTGGGATGTGGTCCTCGAGTACGATGGGAGCAACATAAGCCTTTGATCTGATCCTTCAAGGGCGCCCCCTCGGCGGAGGACCCGTCCTCTCCGTCGGTGTCTTCGGAGTCCACCCTGCGGTTTGTTCGGCGATGCGCTCGGTGAGCTTCTTGCGCGGCTCCTGCATCTGCGCCCTCCGCTTGCCGACCCGCCCCGCCTTTGGCCGTCGCGCCATCCTCGTCGGCGAGGAGCCTCGCCCTCAGAGCTCCCGCGGGGGAAGTCCCCGGAGCGCTCCGGGCGGCCACGGCGCCAGGGCGCGTGCCGGCCTCGCCAGCGCTCAGGGATGCCCCGAGCCACCCAAATCGCGGGCAGGGGCGCGAGGACGACTCGGGAGGAAAAAAAAAAAAAAAAACACGGGCACAATGAGTCGTCGATTCCCAGGAGAGTGTGCGAAAAGATGGGCAGTGGGGGGGGGGCAAGACAGGAGCCCAGAAAGTTCACGGGAGCACACAGGGAATCTTGTTGTGTGTGTGTGTGTGCATTGACCTGCGCGTCCCTGGGCCCCTTCAATGACCGCGCTCCGTGGGGCGGCGCGAGAGAGTTGCCCTCCTCCAGGCGGGCGGCGCGAGAGCGCGAAGGCGAGCGCGCTGCGCGCAGCGAGGAAGCGCCGAGCGCGTCGCCTGCGCACGCGGAGGGCCCGGCAGGCTGCAGACGCCCTCGCGGACGAGGCACGGAGGCTCTGCGTGCAAACATGCTCCTCCTCCCGCCTCCTCCCCCTCCTCCCCCTCCTCCGCCTCCTCCTCCTCCTCCTCCTCCTCCTCCTCCTCCTCCT